GGGGGGGGGTTTGAGTCGATTTCAGATTTTGGCTCTAATTTAGTAGTTTTCTTGTGGAATTGATCCCTTTAACCTTTATTGATTGTGTTGTATTACTTGTGGCTATATTCGGGATGTTTGGAGGCCGATTTGAGAGGCAAAGGCATCGCAGAGTAGGATTTTTCTCGGATTGAAGTAAGTAACAGTCTTAAATCTGGTTTTGAGAGTACGAAACCCTGAGAATTTGTATGATGTGAATATTTGGAGGTGACGCACATGATAGGTGACGGGCGTATGGGAGTGCACCATAAGAGATTGTGACTTGGTCCATCCCGTGAGATTGTAAAGTCGAATAGCCATTGTTAGTACTTGTTTTTCCTTGTCTTGAGCAATTGACTGACTTTCATGTTAGAAACTATGTTTCGGCCATATGATATCAATGTTGGGACCCGCAACGGTCGAATACTTGTTGAATTGACTGCTAATTGATATCTTGTACTCTGTCACGGTCTTACTTGTGTGTTATATCTCAATTCTCTCTCATTTCTTGTTGATACATGTTGTATTCTCTGGTTAGGCTAATTATTATGATATTCTATGAGCCCGAGGGGCTGGAGAGGTTAGTGACTGAGATAGGGCTTGAGTGCCGGGTTGAGAGCTATGTGAGGTATATTGGATCGGGTTGCACGCAGCAGCAATATATGGATCGGGCTGCACGCCACAGCAATATTGGGTCGGGCTGCACGCCGCATCAATATTGGATCGGGTTGCACGCTGCAACAAGCCTTCGGGCCATATATCAGATCGGGATGTACGTCGTAGCAATATATGGGTCGGGCTGAACGCCTCAGCAGTATTGGGTCGGGCTGCACGCCGCAACAATATAGCACTTGCGCTGAAGGAGCCCCTCCGAAGTGTATACACCCCCAGTGAGCGCAGGTACCTATTGAAAGTATGTATTGAGGGCTGAGAGCCGAGAGTATGAGCTTATGAGATGAGTTGAGTGATTGCCGCCTTGAGAGGCTATACTTGCTTTTATTTATTATTGCACTTGGTTGTTGTCCGATGTTGTTGTGAAATTCTGGAAGATTCATATCTGTTTTACTTGGGCTCGAACTGATTTGACTTATACCACTGGATTTGAAACCATGTTTACTCTTTACTGAAAACTTTTGATATGAACTGTATTTTTATAGCTCGTCACTGTTTCTCAGTTCCTTATTTAATTCTGTTACTTGCTGAGTTGGTTGTACTCATGCTACACCATGCACTTCATGTGTAGATCTAGGTGTATACGGTTCTGGCGGTCGCTAAGTGCGCGAGCTGACTATCGGAGACTTACGAGGTAGCTGCCGGTGTCCGTAGTCCTTGTTTCTCCTTTCTTATTATCTTTTCTCTCTTATTTTGGCATTTGGCACAGACTTTAGTAGACTCCATTTTCTAGATTGGTTGTTAGATGCTCGTGACTTAGTGACACCCCGATGTCAGGCTATTTTTCCGCACGTATATTTTATTTGGGTTTTATCCCCGTATTTATGAGAAACTCCGGTTGTTTTAAGTGTCTTAATTCTTTTCTGTTAAATTTTGAAAGTGTTTTGGAAAGGTCGGCTTACCTAGTACCACGATAGGTTCCATCACGACGGGTTAGGTTTTGCGTCGTGACAAGTATACTCCCAGCATATACATGCTAAACGTTTAGAGGCATTAACTATCATATTGAATTGAATATTATATCAAATATAGTTCATTATATATGGTAGATTATCAATTTAGATGTTGAATCTTAATTGTTCATATTTTTCATTTTAGTAAACTACATTGCTTTTTCTATATGTGAAGGCTGAAGTCAAAGGAAAAATTATAGAAGATGAAGTGGAGAATGTTCAGAAAGGAAGAAAAAATGATGTTCATTGCCGGAAAAAATATTCATATTACGAAAAGTTAAAGGTACTTATTTAGTATATGGTTTTACCTTCAACATATTTGATATTATTGCATGATATTGTTATCGTTTCATAGATTATTATTAACATTTCATATATTATTTTCCGTCACATACATGATTATAACATAGATTGTTAGGATTTTTTACTTATGTGGAATTGTTTTATTATATTACAAGTATAATTCTGTTTGTCTGCGGCGTTGGGATCTATACGTGAAGAAGCATGGAGATATTACATCAAAGCCTAGTGTTCACGTAAATCTTGACATTATAGAAGATTTGAAGGAATATCTATCATCTAAACAATTGGATTTGTTTAGGAACACATGTTTTGGACATTTTCTTGAACTAAAGAAGATTAGTGTACAAAACCAATTAATTCATTACTTATTGTTGAGGGAGGTATATCAGGAGAATGATGATGAGTTGTGGGTTGAATTGAATGGTGTCAGGCTGCGTTTTGGGCTGAAGGAGTTTGCATTGATGACTGGTTTAAGTTGTAGTAGTGATGTTGCGAATTGTCCTGATCTTGATTTAAACAATGACTTGGTTGTGAGATGTTTTGATGGTTCTGATAAGATAGATAAGGTGTACATTGATGAATGCTTCAAACAACGAAGATGGAGTACTGACGAAGATGCCTTAAAGATTTCAATTCTCTTCTTTTTACATACATTTCTGTTTTCAAATGTAAGAAGTAAGACTATTGGAAAGGCTTACTTAGACATTGTGGAGAAGGGTCAATATAACTATTACCCTTGGGGCAAAGATGTTTTCAGAGCCACCCTGGAATCTATGAAGGACAGGTTGAGAGGTAATCCAAAAATGTACAGGATTGGTGGTTTCCCTTTGGCGTTCAGATTTTGGTTTTATGAATGTTGCCAACGGGTTAAACCACAAATTTCTCATCGATTGGAAGAAAGAATACCTCGTATTCTTGGATGAAAGGTTGAATCCACACCAAGGTATAGCCTAGTTTCAAAGCACATTGCGAAGACGAAAACTGATAAGGTATATTTTCCCATTGTTATTATTAATATGTATCTGATGTATACTATTAATAAATATTGTATACAATATATTATATAACATATACTTATATTACAGTGTGGTATATAGTTACTATACAATACTACATATCTGAGTGAGTATGATGTCTCTTAGTTCACATAGCTTTTTAAAAATTAATTTGTGATTAGTTGCTGTATATTATTTATGATATAAATCTTGTTATCTCTTTTTTTTTAGTTGTACTTGAAGAATATTTGTCCTACTGAATTGGAGAAGGAAAATATGATAAAGGATGTGTTCTTTCTCGCGAATGGGGCGGAGAAGAAGAATACAACTGATAAGGTGATGCGGAATGAGAATGTGGATGAAGATACAACAGGGAATGAGAATGTGATTGAAGATGTGAAAGAAAAATGTAATAAGAAAGAAAATATGAACGAGCAGACGAATTGGAGGGGGACGCAGAATGTGAAGGAGAAAGAGTTGCTGAAGGAAAGGGAGCTATTTGATGAAACTTATATTAAAAGATTCAACACTGATGTTGATTTTTCCTCTCCTCCGCCTCATATATTTGACAAACAGATCAGAGACAGTGGTGATCCTCAATCAATTGATGCGAATTTTAAAAAGATTTTTGATGGTCAAGCTATGCTGAATAAAGAAATTGGAACGGTATGGTGCATGTTACATATTGTCACTTTTTAATTTCATTACATTAATATATTTCATTAGACCAATCATCATTTTGTCTAACTGGGTTTTATATTCCATTAGATCAAAGAGTTAATACATGACGAATTTGTCGAGCTTTTTAAAGCTCTTGAAATTAAAAACAAGAACAAAGAAAAAGAGACCAACAATTATGGTGACGAGATTGGACAAAGCTCTTGAAATTAAAAACAAGAACCAAGAAAAAGAGACCAACAATTATGGTGACGAGATTGGACAAGTCAGTAAGGATGGTGATACTAATTCAACCTGCGAAAAGCATCTCCAGGACAATCAACAAGACAAAATCGATGTTCATGATCATGATAATAATGTGGACGATGACAAACAAGAATATCGTAACGTCAATGATGCTGATGAAAATATACAACACAACAATATGGACATGGTTTCTGGTATTTTTATAAATATTAGATATATATTAATATTATATTTGTATAATAATTTTTTAGATTGAATATTTATATGATATACAGCTAGTTATGGATTTGCTCAGGTGAATTTATTGAAATATTTTCCTGAACATATTATTGATTTGATTGGTTTTACTATGGTGTGGCAGCTGGAGAAATGGTATTGTACGGACAGTGGGGGTGAAATAATGGAGACTCAGATGGTGGGAGTAACAAAATCTCAAATTATTAAGCCATTTACGCGTGATGTGCCAGATAATATCACACCTGTAAATGTGCCAAGAAAGAGACGTCTAGCAGCTGTGTTTAAGTCCCCATATGTGAATGATTTTAGTTCAGGTGGCAACACAGTTGAAGATAAGCAGAACAGTTTTGCTGCAAATGTAAAGCTTCCTTTTGAAGCAAGTATTACAGAAGAAGTTAGTTTTGAAATGCTTCATGAGTTTGCCAAATGGGTTGATATTGGTCTGAAGGGAAAAAGGTAAGATACTAGTATAAATTAAGTTATTTTGTTTTATACATTAAATGTATAATCTACTAGAGAAATTGGTTTTTATATAAAATATATTTTTTTTTTGTAAGGGGAACGTCATATTCGAAGAAGTTCAAAAAGTTAGTCCCGATATTTGATTTTGGAGTCTCACAAATCAAGAAAAAGTCATGGTTTTTTGCACTAGAATACAGTGGTGAAGCCCTTTCTAATGCGGTATGTCAGTTCAATATTGTATCTCACATCTTTTAAAGTTTAGAACGCTTTTGTTGTAGTTCAGTAAATTATACATTAGACTTAAATATTACTTAAAAATATTTATTATATTATATATGCAATATGCTTAAGATGGATCCATATTATAATCAGTTTCCATTTATATAACAACACTATTATTGTTAAAGTTTGATCTTTTTTAATTACAGCACATTGATGTCATATTTTACTATTTGCGAAAGAAGGGGAAATATGGACGTGATATTCATGTAAACTTCACCACAACTGATTGTTTGTTTGGTGATAAGATAAAAGGTATTTATTCAAAGTTTATTGAGACGACAGAAAAGATGTCTATGATCAGCGGTAAGCATAGAATTGCTGATTACATACAAGGTTATTACTTCCTCCGTTTCAGTTTTTATAACCACACAAATATTCTGGGCCCCTTTTGACTTGTTTAAGATCACAAATTTCAAAAGTTTTCATTTTTTCTTAAACTCCGTGTCCAGTCAAACAGGTTCACATAA